GGCGTTTACACACACACACGCCCTGCTAGTGGGGCTGCCTCAAGTCAGCAAGAGAAATTGAAGCGGTTGATTTTTTGCAGGGCTGATGCAAGTCAAGGCTGAAGATTTCTGTTCGGGCAACGTGAAACATAAGTGAAATGGCAAGCACAACGCAAGTTGGCACGAACCAACATTTTAGCGCATGCCCGACCTCGAAGGGCGTTAGGGCGATGAAATAGGATGGGATCGCCCATCGTATTGGTAGAATCTGCTTCACTAACAGCACGGGGCTCAGTAGAGGCAGAGCGACGGCGTCTCTTTTTCTTGGACTTCTTTTCTTTTTTGCGCTTGTCCTTCTTCTTGCTCAGTTTCTTTTTCTTGGTCTGCTTCACAGGCTTGTCGGTCTTATCCTTGGGAAGGTCCTTGGGAGGGTCGAAAGCGGACGACCATGAGCTCACGTCGTCAGGAAGCTCATCGTACTTGAGGTCGGGATCTGAGGTGTTGTTCATGTTGAACAAGTTGAGCAAGTACACAAGAAATGGCTGCGAAAGCATGAAAGATTTCAATCTCATGCCAGTGACATGAAATGCGGGCTGCAGAGACAAGAGCAGTGACTTTTGCAAAGCGCAAACATGACGTCACATACATGGTTGGGGCGCTATGATCCATAGGTAGCTGGTGTCCCGGGCCAGGAGTCCGGGAAAGATTAATTAAAGGCAGACAAGGTAAGTCTGCGCTCAGGGAGAATGGCTTCTCTTGCGTGAAGGACTCGTCGATGAGTCTTCATTGATCACCAAAGGGCGGTCAGCAAGTGTTCGCCTACGAAGCCACAACCTGGTGACTTCGTACCACTGCCACCACCAGTGTTCGCCATCAGTGTGCCAGGCCCAGCGCCACTGGGGCTCCTGAGTGTTGGCAATCGGCACAGGAGATCGCGAGCGATCTGGCATGGTGTTGGATGCATGTGGGGTCCCTGCAACAAAATTGGCTGCGGTGCGAGCAAACCAAGCAGTCTCAAGTGACAAGCACGTTTCATCGAACGCACATGGGAGCAAAAGGTTGACGGCTTTTTTATCCGTTAATGCCTTAAGGTAGCATTTAGAGGTCAGCGAGACACAGATTGTTCAAGTTCTCGCACGCGCTGTTGCAGGTCGTGGACATCCTGCGTCGTCTTTTCGATGAAATCTGCCAGCATGTCGCGAAGTGCACGGTCACGTAGGGCACTGGGAGTTGATGAGCCATGAGATGGGGGATTTTCTTCTTCACTGGCTGAACCATCTCCACCAAGGATCTCAAGTAGCGCCCGAGTAATAGCCGGCCTGCGTGCAGTGGGGCTCTCTGGAAGGGTGGGCCCATCCGCTGGCTCCGACGAAGACACGTTGACTACCTTAAGCCAAGCGCAAACCTATGCAACGACAAGAGGGTTGGCGCTGCTGACAGATCTGTGACGGCTTGCACATCCTTGGCGCGCCTTGCATTTTCTTCTGGGGGCGATTCCCTGGTCAGGTGAACTTCCAAAATTTTGCCTTGAAATCAAAGGAATTGATGGGAAGGCCTCGCTACTCCGCGAGTTCCCGAAGATATCTAAGATCCATGAGAGCTTGTGCTCGGGGATAGGAGCACTTCTTGATGGTGTGCGCCCTGGCAAGTACCCCGCTAAGTAATACATGTTGGGGGGCAGCAGGCTTGGTGCTCGGGAGGTCAGAGGCCTGGCATGCCCGATTGTAAAGAATGCGGCGTTGCTCAAAGTCGAGGGAGAAACCCACGAAATCGTAGGCAGGTTCATCTTCGAAAATGATTGAACCGCCGTAGAAATGATTATTGAGCAGTAGTCGAATTCCCAGGAGCTGCTCAAACCTGCTTTCAGAGATCCAAAGACGGTTGTCAACATATCTCAGGCTGAGCAAGGCCTGGTTCATGTTGGAGCAAGTGATGCTGAAGGTGCGTCGCCAAATCTCTTCTTGCGCAGCGATGACCATGCCGCACAAGGCAGGTGATAGGCGAGACCCCATCGGCGAAACGAAGCATTGGCGGAAGCCTCGTGTTGAGACTTGGAAGTGCTGCAGTGCGAGAGCGTGTCGGATGATGGTTGGCAGGTCTTCGAACCAAATGGTAACCTGCCGGGAAGCCCGGGTGCGGCGTTTTCCGCGAAAAACTCGCAGCTGCTGAGCATGTTCTTTTAGATTGACCGAGAAAGTAGTGTCTGGTCGGACCCCATGTCTCTGCCTGTAAAACTCAAGTGTGATGCGCCAAGCCTGCAAGAATTGAGACTGGGAGATGGAGTTGAAGAACCCGGCCAGGTCCTGGTTTCGGCAGTGTAACTGCGCCGTGGTGCCGGATTGGAAGAAGTCGCGAACCTGACTGAGGAGTTCGTAAACGTCGCCTCTAGAAAAGGCCTGAGGGAAGGCAAGGCTACAGATCCTGTGAAGCAATCTGGAAGTGGCCTCCAGCAAAGGTCTCATAAAAGCATCAATAAAAGAAACAATCGGTCGTCCCGACGCAAAGTCTTTCTTGCGCTTTGGTAGCGCGTACGCCTGTGGAAAAACTGGCGTGCGTCGAAAGGCCCACGGGTACCGGCGCTGAAGGTCTCGTTTCGCTGCCTTTTGGACCTTCTTAAGTTGTTCCTCGAACATGCGAGGAATTTCCTGGAACACTTGTGGATTCCCGAAGGTGCCGTCAAGCATGGGTGATACACAGTGGGGCAAAAGCAGATTGCCGCACGAGGATGATGATCCTCAGTATGCCAGACGGCTCCACGTGTCTTGGATTTTAAACTGTCGACGGCTTCCCGATGGTACATGGTCCGCACCTGCGTTAGATGTTTGTCCCAAACCTGCTGAAAAAAGACGGCAAGGCCGCGTGGTGGGCCTGGCAACGCATTGGTCTTGCACCAGTTCGACCAACCCTCGAAAAATTGAGTGCGAAGCTGTGCTTTGTCAGGGAAGAAGGTGTCAGTGGTCGAGCCACTAGCTATCTGCTTCTCAAGGGTGCTGAGAGATTTGGTGAACTCCGTACCCCTGGGCGCATACTTCCGAGTGATGTCACACTTGCATGTGGGTTCCCTGCGTGCTGCCCACTGCTTCAGTGCATCCTGATGGTTAAGTAATACCTGAGCAATGCGTGGGTGACGGGGGAAGACCACGGTGGTCTTTGGCACATGAAAGGGAGTGACGGCATGAATGCACTCAGAGATGTAGGCCCTCATGCATGCTCTGAGGTCCTTGCGGTAGGTCTCGTGAGAGAGAAACGGCACTCGCAATGGTCGGTGCCCCTTGGGAGGGAGAAAACCTCGAAATTTGAGAGCAGAAGCGATAGCGCGTAGCGCGTTGGGTGCCATGTAGGCAGACAGATGCTTGGCCATGCGGTGAAGGGCACACAGCGCGGGGTAACTGAACTCAGTTCCCCTCAGGCGTTTGGCAGCTGTGAAATAAGCCTCAGTATTGCTGCCTAGCTGGGTGAGCAGCACCCATGTGGCCTCTTTGGTGCGAAAAGAAGGTTTTTCGAAGATGGCGTACAGGGGGGCTGGTAGCCCACGGCCTGTGGCTGAGAATTGCTTCTTCCGACGTTTGCGCCACAGGCGCACAGGCCGATCTTCTGGGCGTGCGTGGCGTCAGGTGGTTTGATGATGCCACGACGCGGGCAGAACCACCGCGCGATAAAAGGGAAGTTAAGCGGAGGTTGTAATGTCTGAATGAGGGCTTGCTCACGCCCTCGAAGGACATCGCTGGCTACGGTGTCTGACACAGGAATCACACACCAGTCCCAAAAGTTGCGGTGATGTGCCCAAAACCGAATGGAAAGTTCCGCTGACACAAGCTTGTCCTCGAGCACCTGTTTGTACTTGCGGTACCTGCTGTGCTCTCGGACCATCACAGATTTCTCCGTGCTGCCCACATAGAAAAGTTTGGCGTGCTTCTTCACAGGAGAGAAGCGGATGTACAAAACTGACTCGGCACAAAATTGTTGAAAGCTGGGATAGCCTGGTAGGATGGCCAGGGCACGGAACACGCCTCTCAGCACATGGGTGTCAGGTAGGGTCCGGTGTGCTTCATGTATGGCAATCCGTGCGCAGCACCATTGAACCACGCAACAGCTGGAAAACTCCAAATGCAAAAGATCGGGAGCAATGCCGCCGATGAGGCATCGAAAAGCTTTGGCGGCGGCTTGCGTCTGCCTCAAAACGCAGCGCCGCGTTCGTCTCTGTGATGCAATGAGGAGTCACTGCTCCATGTAGGAGCCAACGGCTATGAGCCTTCCCAAGGGCTGCTTCTGTAATTTCGTGACGGTGCCGGGGGAACCCCCAAATGACTGCCGTCCTGCGAATTTTTGCCAGGAAATCGTCGGCATCCTGGGCTTCAACCCAGTCCTCAACTTGCTTCAACCAATCCTGCAATTCGGATTTTTTGCGGTCATTCAAGGTCAAGGAGCTGATCCAGGCTTTAAGCTCCTTATCGTGGCATTTAGCTGGAAAATGAGAAGCGAGCCAAGGTGAGCCTTCCTGTGGTGGCTGCATGATGGAGGAAGGGTCACGCTTGACAGGGGTGCCAAGATTGAAGCCGGGGCTGAACTGCAAGGGTAACTGTCGCAGGTTTTTACCTGCGGGGGCAGGGACTTGTGGAGCTTTGGCTGCAGAGCTTTGTGGCACTGCTTCCGCTGGTGATCCAAGAAGGGTCGGTCAGCGTTATTGACACGGGTAGGGGGGGGGGAGTGGAGGGGCCAGGGGTGCCGGGGCCGACACCGCTGTCAGGAGAGGCGCTGATAGATTGCTGTTGTTTTTGAAGCTGTTGCTGCAAGCTTCCAATTTGTCCTTCAAGCTCGCGAATTCTGGCTTGTGACTCGTAATCTGTTTCCGTAGGTACCTTGCTCTTCACTTGGTCGACGAGGGATTGGGCTAGGGCTTTTACAGCCAGGTTCCTCGCCTGGGAAGTTTGTGCTTGCACTGCATGGTTGGTGGCGGCGGCATCGATGTCCAAACCTTGAGACCGAATTTGTGATAAGAGCTCACCAGCCAAAACCATTTCAGCCTTCGTGCGGGCCACTACAAAGTAGGCCTCTTTCCCGCTGGCGATCCATCGAAGCCAGTAACTGTTCCATCCCTGGTATAGGAAATGAGCCGGATGCAAGTTCATGACGGGAATGCCAGCAACTCCCTTCTCTCGTGCCCAGGAGGAGGACACGACGTGTCGAGGACAACTGAGGTTCCCTATGCTGCGACGGGTGTCCAGGCAGTCACTGTCCTGCAGCCAATCCTCGGGCACAGGCAAGGTCATAGGAGGCTGTGGAGCGGCTGTTCCGGGACCGAATGAGGCAATAGGAGATTGCGAGGCTGGAGGGTGGCTGGAGATGTGACGGGAAGTGGCGGAGGGTTTTGGCGCAGTGGCTTTTGTCTGGCTCCCGGGTGTTCCCGGATGTGGTGCGAAGGTGTTGCAGGGGAAGATAGTTTTGGCAAGTCCTGGCATGCATCTCAGAGTGGGGTGTAATGGCAAGACGGTGTTGTGGGCCGGTGCCGTAGGCCAGTGCCCATGTTGCAAAGGACGATGAGGAGGTGCGAGGAAAGGAAGCGGGGGGCCTCTCGGTGGGGGAGGAGGCACGGGTGGGAAAGGCGGTAGGCCAAGTTGGCAAGGTTGGGAGTGAAGTCCCGTACGTGGTGGGGGAGTGCGACTGCGGTCCATGTTGCGGAACTAGAGGGTGAGTAATGGCAAAATCTACGTCTTAGGTCGGTTGAGCCAACTAGGTGAAACGAAACGGCAGCGGGAGAGAAGAGCCTGATGCATGGTCCCTGGACACGCGTACGGTACAGCAGCACAAAGTCAAGACAAAGGCAAAAAACTCTGTTTGTGCAGGCGGCGTCAGAGATCCTTCACAAAGGAAAGGGTACCACAAAGCCCCGAATTCGGGTGAAAGCAGCATTGAAGGCCCAGCGGTCCTTTGTACGGATGGCTCCTCGGCGAAAGCAAAGGCGAGATTCCTCGACTGTGTCAGACCAGGACACCTTCAAGTGCGGCTGGTCTGTATGGCATTCTCCCATAATCAGCATGCCCTGGAGGCCCTTTGAAATGCGCAACTCTTTGGCAACTGCCTGTTGCACCGTATGCAGATCAAACTCTCCGACTGAGGCCTGGCAGTAAAAGGCAACAGCGGGGAAGTCCACCTCGGACCCTGTGTTGATTCCATTCCCCGGCATTGTGGGGCGGACCTGGAGCTCTTTGAAGATGGAGGCAGCAGTACTGATGTCGGTTCCGTGGCACCACACATAACTGTATCGGTACCCCGGAGCATGTGCTCCGGTTTGCCCGAATGTTTGCACAGGAGGTGTAACCACCGGGACAAAATAACACTGATACGAGTCAGCGACTTCAAAGGCGACAGTTCGCGGGCGAGGCTGGATGGCATGGCCGGAATGGCCGCCGCGAACTTGTGCGTGAGGTCCTCTTGTTCCTCGACGTCCACTGCGTCGAGCTTCGGCTGCTCTTCTGGCAGCAATTCAGCTGCGGCTTTAATGCCGTGTGGAGAATTGGCTGCTGCAGCTGCCTCTTGTCTTTTTGCCTGCCATGCGGCATGGTATCCCTCGCGTCGAGACTGGAGCTGATGTTTGTGCCCTTTGTTGTCGGAATAGTAGGGCTTGTTGCGGGGGGCAGGCGGTGGTGTGCGTGGTGGGCCGTAAGTGGCCGCATTGTATACAGTCCATGGCGCAGGCTGCGACACATGATAGGGAGGCCCACGGTACGGCGGGTACGGGCCAGATGGGCCGAACTGCTGTTGGTGTGGTGTGGGAGGCAAAGGTGGAGCAGGGGGCAAAGGAGCACCAGGTCCTGGCGTTAGGACCAAATGAGCATGGTTGGGGCTGCGGCTGCGGCCCTGTCGGTCCGCGCGACGAGGCGCGGGGGTGTCACTGGCACGGTAATGGTCGCGGTTCTCTCGAGGAACACGCGGTGAACGGCTGTCCATGCGTACGCGAACATGGTGTCGGGATGTATGCTGCGCCCGACTTGTGGGTCTCTCTCTGGAACGCGATGGAGAAACCTGGCCTGACCTCTTGCGACCTTGGGCATGATGTGACGAAGGGCGGCGCTCAAAGCTTGAGGCACGTGCGCGGTGCGCCCGGCTTGTGGGTCTCTCTCTGGACCGCGATGCAGAAACCTGGTCTGACCTCTTGCGACCTTGGGCATGATGTGAAGAAGGGCGGCGCTCAAAACTTGAGGCACGTGCACGGTGCTGTCGAGAGGCAGGCTTGTGCTTGGAGCTGGAGGCCGGAGCCTTATGCTTGCGGGAGGCCTTCTCTCTTCGACGCAATTTGCGTCGTAACTCCTCGGTTGACCTGGAAGATGTCGAAGAGGAAGAGGTGGGGCGCTTCTTCTTTTTGTGCACATCAGGTGCACTGCTCGGAACGGCAGCAAAGGGAGTGGCAAGCTGAAGAGGAGCTTGCGGCAAGTATGGCGTGGCTGGCTGCAATGCGGTCAGCTGTGGTGCACACGGCCCCATGCACTGTCCTGTGCGAGCGTCGTACAGCATCCTTTGAAAAAAAGCGAATGGAACACAGACGGGTGTTTGAGGCAGAAAACTATCAGTGTACACTGGCTCTACCCTCACTGCCTGAAGCCTGTCAGAGTCGCGTTGCCTAGCCCCATCCCCAACAACCCTCTGAAATTGCACTCACATGACGCAAGTCCGCAAAACACTGGCTCGACCCTCACTGCTTGAAGCCTGCCTGAGTCGCGTTGCCTGGCCCCATCCCCAGCAACCCTCTGAAATTGCACTCACATGACGCAAGTCCGCAAAGCTCGATGGTCCTGGTGATGGCATCGGTGCAATCAAAACGAGACCTGGCACCTGTGATGGTGATTCAACCTATGACGTTAGTCGTGCTGCGTCAGCGTCATCATCCACTTTTGTGGGCTCGAGCGTTTGCTCGCTGTGATCTGGCCCCATTTCGGGAATTCCAGAACGACACACACTTTGGCTCGGCACGAACTGATGCGAAGAAAGACTGACAGGACAAGACTCAACATAGACAGACTGCATACTCCAGG